GTTGGAGTTTAGAAGAAGATTTTCATGGCAATTACTGTAACTTAACTGTTACGTTGTCATAAACTGGCCGTGCAGACTTTATTGCGAATAGCTAAACACATGGACATCCTTGAAAATCTGTGTTCAAGTTTTTTTCTGTAATTAATTGCTCAGAAATTTCAAGATCGTAAATTTTCTCATTTCAGACAGCTAACTCTTTTAAAAAACCATTACCTAACTGTTAGTTTGTTGGATATTATTGAGCTTCATATAGAAAAATTTGCCAAAGATAAATGCCTGAGCTGATAGATAGATAGGTGCTGGACATGCTCCGTATCTCAAAAAAACTTTCCTGGCTCTTACCATTGCAGTGAGCTTGTAAAAATAAATTTTCAAGTGGTTAAGTTTGGACTGTAAATTGTTACAAGAGCTTTCTATATTTAGTAATTTCAGTTTCACCAACCTCCTCCATTCTTCACCGGCTCATCTGAAAAATCATTGTAATCATCATTTTGTGTTTTTCCAGTAAATCCCGGGGGTCCGCTAACTTCATCTTGAAGAACGCCATGGGCACGTGCCTAGACAAAAATATAATCAGTCTATATCCCAAAAGCAAATAATCATTGATATTGGAATTTTTTTTAAATGTACGGACACTGATACTGTCGCGGTTTGTAAGGCAGATCTAATACAAGAAGTTAAAAGTGAGTGTCTTACTTTTATTGTTCTGGATGGGAACCTTCCTTTTGTGAGTAAATCATCGTCGTCTAGTTGGAGACCCTTTGATATCGGTGGAGCATCTGATGCCAATATAAGCGGTGGTTGGAGACCCTTTGATATCGGTGGAGCATCTGATGCCAAGATAAACGGCAATAGGAGACTGCATAGTGCTAATCGCATTCTAAAACCACTCGTTTTTTCGAAACAGTTATAATAAGCTCGGATAAGGTGAACAGTCAAGCCAAGTGCGATTCAAATGAAGAATGAAGAGATGATAAAGGCACCGTTGCGCAATGACTCTCGCCTTGAGGAACCTGAAATCTGCAAGGAAAAGCAGACAAAGGCAGATTGCCCCGCCTGCGCGATGAAACAATGTCGTGGTCATCGGAAACGTGAAAACAGATTACGCAACTTGCTTTCACCTGGTTTGGCTTTATTCTTGATCATTTAATTGAGGAGATACGGGCTTATAGCACATGATTAATCGCTGCAGCTGGAGATTTTGATACTTGATCAGCAATGGGCAAATAACGGAGACGGACTGTATAAGCAAGATTTTTGGAACTCTCTAAACATAACAATTAATTGTGATCCAATTAGCTAACGGTTCTTAAAAAATGTGAGAGAGTCCAGTTGCTTAGAAGTTTGAAACTATTTAACACTAATGGATTTTATGGCATACTTTGCATAGATTAAAGAAAAAAATTCTGTTAACAAGTAAGTTATTTCTTCCCAGTGCAGTAGGTAAACCAAGGTAACGATAAAATCTTTTGGACAAACTCTGATATAGCCTTCAGCAGTATGATGGCATAATCAGTTCGTCTCTTAATCCCTTGCTTGTTTGGAAATTTCAATTGATTAAAGCTTCAAATGAGATATTAAGAGATAGGTAATAGCAAGTGAATTGACAATGGATATCGCAAAGAGGAGAAGTTCCAGCTCAAAAGCAATATGAGTGACGCGAAATGGAAGAGAATTCAAATATGTTGCTGGTGAGTTGTTAGACAAGTGATGCAGTTCATTTCAGAGTCAATATCCTGTAAGTTACAAGTTTGACCAACCTGTTAGATATCTTTCGAGGATATTCTTAATCTAGGAAGTAACTGCAGACAATTATTATGAATAATTCAAAACTTAATGAATCGGTGAGGAAGGAAAAAAAAGTTATATCGTCTTTTTTTTACATTTCTGTAGAGCTGAAATTGAAATCCTGCTTTTTTTCTGGACCACTTAGAAGAATGTTGTGCTACAGCAAGCTTGAAAATTTTTTCATTCTTATGCTGGAATCCTACTATAGATTTACGACAGATATACCAGATAGGCCAAGATCATAGGTTTGCCTATGAAGTGATCACGATGCTTGTAATCAACTCGAATGTCGAACCCCACTGTGATGAAGCAAATTTGGGAGAGAGAACACTATTGTTTCTACCCATAGATAATCTTACTAGTGGGGTGCTCGCGTATGTAATATTTTTGTAAATAGCATTTGAAGCAACTCAAATAGGAGATTTTGCAAGCCGAAATTTTGGTGTATTTTTCATGATTTGTATGGCCGGAACAATTCCATTGTATTTGAGCAATAGTTGTTATCAAAAGTTTAATGTTTGAGAAAGTCTAAATTGCCTGCATTGCAGAAGTTATCCCTCCAAATAATGTGGTATAATGGCAGAGATTTTTTTGAGTAACTTGTTTGCATGGGAAAGAATTTCGCAAAACTCGCTCAACTTATAACCAAAACTAAGAAATTCTGGACACTGCTATACTCGATACTTTGAAGCTACTCTCGTATTCTTCGCTGAAAGGACTTTCGCCTAGAAGAAATCTTGAGAAAGGAAGTTTAGGAGTAGTAGTTTTGTTGCAAGAAGATTTTTACGAATCGCCTCTTGCTTTTAAATAGATAATACTTAAGATGTGACTAATTTTTAATTACTACTTTGTACGTTTGTGCAATTCTTTA